TCGAACGAACAATAATTCTGACACGTTTTTATTCAATCCCCACCAACTACAAACACACTTTTAGGCGATAACGTGATTTTTAATAATTATGAGAATTTTAAAAATGGCCAAAACGTGGCAACAGTGGACTCGAATAAAATTCTCCTTTGCATAGGTCGATAGAGCAAAATTTTCTGCATTTTTTGGTATAAATACGAACTCTGTCACTGCGTTTATGCGAAAGTTATGGATGTTTGAAGGTTATGATTTTAAAAAAGGGCAACGCTGTTTCCCTGCGGTTTTTGCCTAAAAGCAGTCAGATGGAGGCCCAAAATGACCTATACAATCATCCCACAAAGTTTCGTACAATCCCCGCGGGGTCACTTTTTGGCCGTTTTGCATAACCCTCATTCCGAAGCTATCGAGACGGCTCTTGACCCTTCCTTCCCTCACACTTTTTCCAGGCTTGGGACTGGCCCGAGCATCATCTTACGAAAATCGCGGCTAAGCGGCGATATTTTTCATATCAAATATTCGCCGAAAAAGCATACTTGGAGGCTCATCGAAAACATGGTTTCAAAGTATGGTAGTTTCGTAGCATAAGTTTTACAAATCATGCCACCCCGAGCATTCACAAGTAATCGCTGAGCATGATTTGTTACACATTAACATGAATAGATATCAACACAGTATTTGTTTTGTTCTTAGAAATACAGCTATCAGTTTTTAACTTTTTGAACCCTTGTTTTACCAAATGCTGAGTCAAAGTTGTGTTCCATGCCTGAGGCGATTGTTTAAACCCATAAAGTGCTTTATTCAGTTTACATATTTTACCTTCAAATTTTTCAAAGCCTTGCAGAACATGAAAACGCTTTCTTAAAGCTCCGCGTTAATAAAAGCTGCTTTAATATCAAATTTGGCAATGTTCATATCATGCTCAACGGCTAACACCAAAAGTGATCTAATAGAACTAATGCCGGCAACAGGGCTGAATATTTTCCTGTAATCAATGTCTCCTTGCTCAAATCCCCGTATTATGAGTCTGGCCTTTTTAGTACCATTCTCTTTGATTCTAAACACCCATTTACTTGAGAAAATTTTTGAATTTCTAGCTTCATTCTTGTTGACTAAATCTCAGGTTTTATTTTCTTTCAATGCTGCTGTTTCAGCATTAATGGCAGCTTGCCACTTAAGCTTTTCTGGAGAAGCTAATGCTTCATTGTAGGTTTGAGGGTCAGGTGAACCTGAGCACCTGGGAATGACGCGATCAGCCAAACTTGCTTGCTGGGGATATAGGACGGGCGGTTGTCGCGGGCGGTTAGGATAACGACGGTCCCCTGAAGGATTTTTTGGGGCGCTCAGGTCTTCATTATCCGACTCTGGTAGCCACTCATTCGACTCGCTGTCTTTATCATCCAACTCGCTCTCGCTATGGTTTCCATCGAAATCCGATTCTTGAACACTTGGCGATTTGCATCTTCCGGTATGCTCTAGAGTACCTTTACAGACAGAGTATGGCCATTCGTATCTTTTTACTACAGGAAAACTGTTCCGCTTTTTGATTGGTCAACGACTTTTTAGGCTTCGTGATGCTCTTACGGCCGTAAATGAACAAACAAGATGGCGGCTCACCGTAACATCGATAAGAAGCTAAATTTGACAAAAATTTCAATTATACGGCAGTAATAATTTAAACAAGCATATCTATGAATAACACACGAAAATGTAATTCTATGTCTTTTCGAAATCCTTCCATCCGTCTGTACCTGAGAAATTCAGTGAACCAGCCGACTTTCGGACTTTTAACAAGAATCGTCGGCAACTTTACCATTGAAATGATTCTTAGGTGTTTTTGAAGAAAGGGATTTTATTAAAATTTTTGTTGGACAGGTTTGACTCACCCTGAATTCTTAAAAAGAGAGAAAAAAAATATTTTCTTCACTCTAGAAAGACATGAAACTGACCAAGCTGTAGGTAAGTAAGTAGTTTTTGATCACATCATTCTATGAAATATGATGAGTCTTCTTGCTGCAGGAAACACAATATACTAGCAGGAATCCTCAAATAAATTTTCTGTCTTGTACAATATCTGTTGATACTTAAGTATTCGATGATACCTATGAAGTGGAAAAATTCTGAAAAGACACTGCGAATACCAGCAGAGTCATCTCAAAATTTTCTCTCAGGAACAAAACTAAAAATTGTGGAAGTTTCCTAAGAATGCTCTCAAGACTTTACGTATTATTCATAGATGAAGTGTAGCCTGCTACATATCATGTCGTATTCCTCTTCAAATATACATGCAGGTGAGTAGATTTTTAAATTTTGAGCGCACGATTTGCTTATGTAAGAAGCGAGCACTAACATGATTTCCACTTACCATTACTACTTCTGTTCCACTAGTATGTTGTGTTTCCTGCAGCAAGTAGACTCATCATATTTCTTAGAATGAAGTGATCAAAAACTACTTACTTACCTACAGCTTGGTCAGTTTCATGTCTTTCTAGAGTGAAGAAAATATTTTTTTCTCCATCTTCTTAAGAATTCAGGGTGAGTCAAACCAAAAAATTTTAATAAAATCCCTTTGTTCAAAAACACCTAAGAATCATTTCAATGGTAAAGTTGCCGACGATTCTTGTTAAAAGTCCGAAGGTGGCTGGTTCACTGAATTTCTCAGGTACAGACGGATGGAAGGATTTCGGAAAGACATGGAATTACATCCTCCCATAAGAGTAAGTCAGGAACATGTTAAGGTTATCTGGGGATGACATTTGTAACATTTCATTGCATGATTTTATAATCGAAGAGAAACAGAAAGTCTGAAACTTTGTAACTCTATGTAAGTGGTTTTCCAGTTGGGCTTTGACATTGATATGCTCGTTTTGTTATCAATTAATCTCCACAAAGGTAAGCATACTTACAAAAACTGTTCCACATCAGATGCGAATGTAACTTGTGATACCTAAGTGACTTTACAAATCTTACCTGTTAAACTACCAGCGGCCCGATTATTGAAACTATGTCAGCCGGACATGATAAGACATTGCCCTATCTTATACATGCAATATATCGGAATTTGATGTCTTGTCGGGTTGCTCTAAGCCTTCAATAATCGGCCTGCTGATGAGTTGCAAAATATTTCCACTTCCAGACGAATGGTCATGTCTTGGTTGATGCTTTCGATAGTAGAGTTGTGATGTCGGTTCAGCCGCAGCACACACCAGAAAATTCCTTCTTCGATCGGACCTTTGATGATTCATTGTCGAAATAGCTTTGAACTGATTAAAGATAAATGACACCGCACGTGTGTCATTTAGTGATGAATCAGAGATCAAAGTATTTTGAAGCTGCTAGAGCAGTAATTTTATCAGACAAGAGTGACCGTCTAAATGCAAAACCCACTTACGACAGATCTCAGAAACTTTGCATCACCGCAAGGAGATATTAACAGAATATCTATACACCAAATTATTTACGCAACTAGGTGACTTTCTTTGGTAAATTATTGCGCTTAAGAGAAAGTCCTGACTGTAGAAAACAAGAAATAATACCTGTACCGATAGCATAACTGTGTATATGCACTACAGTGGTCACTTATAAAGAACAGACACGAACAAACACTTATGACAAACATTGAACAAGAGAGCAGAACTGGATTAAGTAACTGTAGTCTCTGATTTAGTTCTGAACTGCGAATTTGAAGAGCCACAAGACACACATCAAATGTGTAATCACTTAGTTTGAGCCAAAGAAACCTCGAACTACATGAGATCATATCGGTAAAGCTTGAGAGGTCAAAAGGCTATAATACTGAATAAATGGTGAACTTCTAACTCTTGAATGAATTCAGGACCACATACTTAAGACAAAGAAACTGCAAAACATTTGATTTGAGGCGAAAGTGAAAAGAGAATGGTTAAAAAAAAGTAAAAGAAGAAAGTCTGGGTTTGGACATTGGATTTGTAAAACTGATTTTCAGAATGCACCTTAAAATGAGCCGATAGGCCGTGGCTCCAGGTTGTAAAATACGATGAATATTATTGCCAAATGCTTGGTTGAAGTCGAAAATGGATTTAAATAAATTAAAATTAAGAGATTTCGAGTTGTTCGGATCATTTGTGTTATCAATCTTCTTTTGTTTTTACGACCCACACGTGGCAGGGGCATGCAGAGGTACCTCGCCGGCACGCTAGGTCAAAAGTGTGGCCACCGCCGGACGGATCGAATGGGCGCCATTTTGAGATAGGCCAAGCGGCGCGCGTTTTGGGAGCCCAAAATACGGACTTTTTGACTCGTATTTCGTGGGTTAATATTGCTCAAAAAAATCGGGGAAAATTCCTGTGAACTATGTGCACTCTCTAGTTTCCAAAAATGCAAGAATTACGAATTACTGAACAAGCTCATTAGTTGGCACTTTGTCGCCCGCAGTTGGCACTTTGTCGTCCGTCCGTTGGCACTTTGTCTCCCGTAATTTTTGATTAAAATTTTCGTCGTTCTCGTGATTTTTCCGCACGATTGTTTGTCACACGACGGTCACATTCACCCTGGGTCCCATAACCTGTTAAGGGATGAGGGATTTAACGAAATAACACCTCGTAGAATAATTTTGAGAATAGATCGAAAGAAATAAAGCTTTAACTATGACATCGTGCAGACGCACTCTAACAAGTGAAAGAGAGGACTGATACAAGAAAAATTAGAACTTCACATGCGAGGGAGCCTGAACTTATTACTAAAGTTCTCAGGTGACCACATCCATGATGAGAAGTAATGCATATGAGTAATGACACAGAGATGCAAAATCTTGCATTATATTTAATGAATTAGTTTAAACTTCAACATTGACACAGTGAAAAACTACGATGCGTGGATCCATCAGAAAGTCTTGAAGAGGCGCATCACGTACCATTTTTGACACACCGTCATTCAATATCAAAGCTGTCCATGTTCATTCTTTCATCAATTTTTATCATTCATGTAAATCCATATTATGACTGACGTACATTTTTATCTGCCAACAGAAAACCAAAAGCATTTCTGTGCCAAAAGAATCCTATCCCATGATAATGGGGAAAAACGGCCAGCGCCTTAAGGACTTAGAGAAAGAAACTGAGACTAGAATCACCATCCCAGGCCACAATGACAAATCAGATCAAATCCTTGTTGTTGGTGCCGCTGAGAACATTGAATTAGCTTGTGCAGAAATTTTGAAAATCAGCGAAGAGCAGGTAATTTTATTGGTTCTTTTTTTTTTCTCCTTTTTTCTTTCTTTTTTTCTTTTTTTTTAAAAGTAAAAATTGAAGTATACATCTCTTGAGTTTTTGCCGAATTTTTTCCATCAGTTTTACAAGTGAGTGAAGAACTGAATTCAATTTTCTTTGCCGCACATCCCTAGCACATTTGAAGGACCACCTGGGAAAAGAGCACATGTCAAAAACTGCCAATTTTTAGGAGAGACAAAAAACTGTAAAAGAGCTTGATGCAAAAACGGTTTTTTTGCCGCCGCCCCCCCCCCCCCCCCCCCCCCC